CTGTAGTTTACACCCCCCACCGAACCTTCTTCTTTCTCAATTCCACCTACAGCTCCTTCTACTTTTTCAGTCTCAGTTGTAGGTGCCTCCAGTAGTTGTGCCACAAAATCATCTTTCCCAGTTTTCTCAGCCGTTTACGGATGCAGGCTTTTAAGAGTGCTCGGTCTGACTCGGATTTACTGGCCCTCCAGCGGCGCTCTAGGCGTCTCTTTTGGCGCTTCATCTCCCGGAGGTCCTCGGTAAACCAAGGAGCCCTCCTGGATCCACTGTCGCGGATCGGCCGTAAAGGCGCAATTCCGTGGAGAGCCTCAGACGCTACCGAGTTCCAAGTAGCAACTAAGGTCTCCACCGGGCTGCGGTCGAGAGTATCAGGCATAACGCCAAGCGCCGTCTGGAAACCCTGAGGATCCATAAGACGCCTGGGGTGGAACCACCTAATCGGTTCCTCCTCCCTACAGCGGGGGATTGGTCTCCGAAAGTCAAGCCTCAGTAGGAAGTGGTCTGACTATGACAAGGGCAAGAGCACTCCGATGAACGTAACACAACAAATCTCGATTTAAGACTGACGAGCATTTAGGACCGGAGGAGAGTCGAGGGATAAATGGCTCCCCAGCCGGCCTGCTTTAAGAGGAGTGGGCTTACCCTGGAAGGGAGAGTGGGGCATGCACAGCGTGTTCCTCAGGGAATAAAAATCGAGGGATCCGTTCAGCCTGGCAGCTACGATCCTGCTCCAAGGGGAGACACCAAGAAAGACGAAAGGCCTCAGTTGCACAGAACATTAAAATGCCATTTAAATTTACATTTTTTTAAAAAAAAATCATCGGTGGTAGGAAGGAGTGGAGATTGGGGAGGAGGAGGAAGAAGAAGGAGAAGACAAGGGGGAGGAGAAGGATGAGGAAGAAGAGTAGGAGGATGAGGAAGATAAAGGGAGGAGGAAGAGAAGAAACACAGAAGGATGAAGAGGAAGAAGAGAAGGAGGGGGAGTAGGAGAAGGAGGAGCAAGAGCAAGAGCAAGAGAAGGGAAGGATGAACAAGAGAAGAGGAAGGAAAGGAGAAAGTGAAGGAGGAAGAGGAGAAAGACAACATGATAAAGAAGAGTAGGGTAAAGAAGAAGAAAGAGGGGGAGGGGCGGGGGAAGAGGAAGAGAGGAAGAGGAAGAGACAAGGAAGGAAGGGGGGAGGAAGAAGAGGAGGAAGATAAAGGGAGGAGGAAGAGAAGAAACACAGAAGGATGAAGAGGAAGAAGAGAAGGAGGAGGAGGAGGAGGAGGAAGAGCAAGAGAAGGGAAGGAGGAAGAAGAGAAGAGGAAGAAAAGGAGGAAGATAAGAGAAGGAAGAGAACACAAGAAAGAAGGAGGAAGAGGAGGAGGAGGAGGAAGAGCAAGAGAAGGGAAGGAGGAAGAAGAGAAGAGGAAGGAAAGGAGGAAGAGGAGGAAGATAAGGGGAGGAGGAAGAGAACATGACAAAGAAGAGTAGGGTGAAGAAGAAGGAGGAGGGGGAGGGGCGGGGGAAGAGGAAGAGGAGGAGGAGGAAGAGAAAAGGGAGGAAAGGGGGAGGAAGAAGAGGAGGAAGATAAGAGAAGGAAGAGAACACGAGGAAGAAGGAGGAAGAGGAAGAAGAGAAGGAGGGGCAGTTGGAGGAGAAGGAGAAGACGAAGAGAAGGAGGAAGAGAAGAAGAGGAGGAGGAGGAAGGGGAGGAGGAAGGACTGAGGGCTCCCTGAGTTTGGTGGGACATTTCATGACCCAACTAGGGAACATCATCAGTGCTGGACAGGAGGGAGGTTATATAAACAGTCAGCCAACCGCCTTCCCTTCTAGAGCCCTGGTGGTCTTGGGTCACCAAAAGTCTGCAAGGTGGGACTCTCCCTCACACAGACACAACCTGTGACCCTCCCTGAGCTAACCACGTTCTCCGTATGTCTGAAACTGCTCCCCCTCCCCCTCCCGGATCCCCCAAACCCTCACCTGTCACTCAAGAAGACCAGGGACGTGATGCCAGATGTCCCGTCTTCGCTGCTGCACTGAAGGGTCCCCTCAATGGCATCCCAGACCTGTGGAAGAGACGAAGGGGAGCCACGGGGGCCTCATCACCCCCAAATATTTTTTTGGGGGGGGAGGAGGGGCTAGACAGTTATAATTCTTGGGGGTCCCTTTTCATCACTTCCAACCCCTCAGGCCAGACTCCCAACGGTTGTCAAGCGCATTATGGCTCGTTTTACGGCCTTATTGGTCACTAAGCAGACTGTTGTAAGCCAAGGACTATCCTACAGCGAGTCCTCGAGTTACGACTGCAACCAAGCCCAAAATTCCTCTGTCTAAAAGCGGAAGGATTGGCTATTTTATGACTTTGCTTCTCACCGTTGTTAAGTGAATCATTGCGTTTGTTAAGTTAGTAAGCTGGTTGTTAACTGAATCTGGGCTTGCAAATCGTGGGACCCAAGGACATTATGACCGTCATAAACGTGAGTCGCTGGCCAATTTTGATCAGAGAGGCTAAGATGGTCATTAAAGGTGGAAAAACAGCCCTAAGTTATTCAAGGCCGTTTCATGTCAGTCACTAAATGAACCTTCGTAAAGCGAGGACTCCCCTTACCTCCAGCCTCCCATTGCTCCGGCCGGCCAGAATGAGATTCCCTTGAAGTTCCAAACTCCAGACCGAACTGTCCAAGTCTCCCTGCCAGGGAATTAGGGGGCTGGTCTTCCCTGGGACCCCGGAAGGCTCATCGCCCCCCAAGCTGCTCCGTTGCGAGATGCATTCGGGATCCTCGCCAATTTGGGGCCACGCTCCCTTGCTCTGGGAGCCGCCCTTCTTAGCGACAGTCGTACAGTTCGGGGGTCCCTCCTCGCAGACCCTCCCCACCAGGCTGCCAAAGTCATAGCCATCCGGGCGCCCGCTGAGGGTGCGCAGACGGGGCCCCGGGGTCCCACTCTTGGTGTGCTCCGAAAAATTGGTATCGATCAGAGAAGAGAGGTCAGGTTGGTTGCTGAAGAGGAGAGGCGGCTGGGGGCTTCGGGTCTGGCGGAAGGGGGGGCTTCCATCCCAAGGGTCTTCTGGCCCACCGCTGCGGCCGTCTGGGCTGTAATCCCAGCAGTCCTGGGGCTCAAGGACGCTGCCGCTATTGTTGTCCCGGGGCAGGCTTAAAAGAAGCAGAATAACAGAGTGGGAAGGGGGCTTCAGAGGGCATCTAGCCCAACCCCCCTGCTCCAGCAGCAGGCCCTTCCAGGATCATAGAATAACAGAGGGGACCTTGGAGGTCATCTAGCCCAGCTCGCTGTTCAAGCACGAACCCTTCACAGTATCATAGAATAACAGAGCTGGAAGGGACCTCAGAGGTCATCTAGTCCGAGTCCTGGGAACCTGAGATCAGCAGCCGCTTTAGCGGGACTCACCCTTGCTTAGGAATGACCGTAAGGCAGTCACCCGTCTGTGCATCCCACACCCGGATCTGGCCCACCAGGCAACAACTGACCAGCAGCATCCCATCGCTAGCCAAGCATTCGATGTCCTGCAAAACAGGTCAAGAAATCAGCAAGAGGTGTTTGCAGGCGAGAAGCTCCCGGGTGGGAAGCCTTTTCCCGGGACATCACCGTTGCCAGCGGGACCCCAAGTACAGGGCTCCCTTCATGTCCTCAGCAGGAGCCGGAGCTGAGGACAGGAACTCAACCAGGAACTCACACATGAAAAAGAGTGGTAAGTCTCATTCTTCAGTGTTATATTTACATTCAAACAGTCGCTAAAAGAACTGTGGTAAGCCTGTCCTAGCTTTCCTTTTAATTTTATTCTTTTTATTTTAGTTCGTTATTTTTCTATTCATTTTACTATTTTATTTTTGTTCCGTTTTGTATTTTATATTAATGTAGTCATCTATTTAATTTTTATTTTGCTATTCTATTTTATTTTATATCGTTTTATTGTATTCTACTCCAATTATATTGTATTATTTTATTCTGTTTTGTATTTTATATTATTGTATTCTGTTTTAGTTTCGTTTTATTATTCAGTTTATTTTATATTTTATATTATTCCATTTTATTTTCATTATATTATTTTATTCTATTCTATTTATATTTTAATATTCACTTTATTATTTTATTCTAATTTATTTTCATTATATTATTCTTCTATTTTATTCAAATTTATTCGATTTTATTTTACATTTTCATTGTTTTATTCTATTTTAGATTTTGTTTTAATTTTATTGTTTTATTTTTGCTTTATTCAACTTATTTTATATTATATATTATTCTATTCTATTTTAATTATATTTTATTCTTCTATTTTGTTTTAATTTTATTATTTTATTCTTCTACTTTATTCAAATTTATTATTTTATTTTATTTTATTCATATTTTATGTTCTTTTATTTATTTTATGATTTGATTTATGCTTCTTATTTGTAACCTATGGTCTGTGACCGTAATAAAATCACTACTACTACTATTACTCCACCTCTGGCTTCTCACATCTGACATCTCCNCCCAGAATTCCCCAGCCAGCGAATGCTGGCTGGGGAATTCTGGGAGTTGAAGTCCAGACATCTTCAAGTGGCCAAGGTTGAGAAACACTGCTCTATATGATGCTAAACTGCCTCATCTCGCTGCGGGAACGCTGTGTCTGTCCAAGGCAGACACTGGATCCCTGAAAACCGTTGTGACTCGATTGAATCGTGGTCTGGGAAGGCAAGGTTGGGACTCTCTCCATCTTTACTGGGGTGGGATGCGGGGCACAGCAATGCTCACAGCTTGCGAAGCCGCCCTGAAGTCCACGCTGGGCAGGTTCAATGCCAAAGCAAGGGGGGTAGTTGGAGGCATCCCGTCCCTAGTCCTTAACCTCGGTTCGCAGCACCCAGTGAGCCGGTTTTCGTATCTCGGCTTACGGCGGGCAGCATCTCTTCCCCTTCTCTTCCCCCTCACGTGCTGGAATAAATAACTATGTACAGCAGAAATAAATACGAGAAGGAGTAACGGCACCCACTTTTTCACGCCTGCTGCAGCTCACTTGCCGAGGCCTTCGAGGGGGTTGAATTGATCCGGCTTGTTTCGTAACCTCTTTCTGAAGACTTCCAAGCACTCCCAATGAAGTGGCTCGGGAGACAAAGGGCCGGGGGGGGGGGGGGGGCGGGCGCTAAGAGGGCACTGGGGAAGTCCTCCCGTTCCTGGCTCCCAGCTGATTCGTTTTGAGGACTCCTGCGTGGCCAGATTCAGCACCCGCCCCAAATTGACCACGAAGGAAACACCGCTGCCGCAGGATTGTGGAAAACTACCCTGTCTGGCTTTCCAATTGTTCCCCGGTGGTCCACCCGCCGCAGCCCTTCCAGAATGGCGGCCCCGGCCTCTTGCCGCACCTTGCCCGCGAACCCAGACAACTGGAAGATTCAACACTGGCCTCCTTCCCATTCTTCTACTGGACAGGAAAGCCTGCCAATCATCCTCCCTCCGCCACCGGGCTTCCCGAAGCGGTTGAAAGGGATGGGACGGGTAGGGGTTTCTGGGTTCTCCTCATCTGCTCTCCCTCCCCTTTCAGTCTCGCTTCTCAATCACCGACGGTACATAAACCAAGTTGAGTTCGCTGCCGAAGTTGCAGACGATGGCCGCGTTCTCCAGCACCAGGATCTGCCGGGCCGGCTGCGATTCGTTGCTCTTGCCCAGGTATACAGTCTGCAGCAGGTCTCCGTAGCCGATGTCCCAGAAAGAGACGCAGCCCTGACCGCCAGTGACCAGCAGATTATCTGAGATCACGCCCAGGCTGGCCCCACAGCCCATGTCCTGTGTAGAGGGCAAAGGGGGGGGGGGGAGGAGATCAGAGGTGGGACTCGGCAGACTTGAAAGGCCTTTGATAGCAGCAGGCAATGCCAAACCTGCAAGGTTCGCACTTCCCACGTTCAAAGGGTCTACCCCAAAGGTACTTAGGCCTGGCTCACGGGGCCGCTCGGGAAACAGTGAACAACTTGGCTACGGTGCCTCTGGAAGCAAAAGCGGACCTCGGGAGGGCTGCGTGTGACCCTCCCTAGCTCCGTTTCCGCGGGAAGAGGCACTGTGGGCTGTGTCCGTCGCTGGTTGTTGGGCGTCCCCATGGGTGAAATCTAAGCACCCCGTGGCAGGATCTTGCCTGCGGGCCTTGAATTTGATACCCCTCATCTAAACCGCTGGGCCGTGGCATGGCCAGCTCAACGTCACTCATGTCGGGGGCATCGGTGGTGTCGTATGTGAGGCTGGAGGGATGAGTGATGTTGAGCTGGCCACACCTAGCTTCATCACACCCTCCCCTCCCCCCACCAAAGGTCAAACACAACCCTTATGCGGCCCTCAATGAAGTTGAGTTTGACACCTCTGATCTACACCACTCGGTAGGGAAGCAGCACAGGGGATCCGCAGAAACCCACCTGTTGAATGGAATAATGCTTGATCCCCGATGCCCGGTCCCAGATGCTGATGACGTCATCCAGGCCGCTGCTGATGACACACGAGGTGGTGCAGGTCAGGGACGTGACATCGCCCCGGTGCGCGCAGATGTGGCTCACTCGGCTGCCCGTCAGCACGTCCCAGAGGCAGATGGCGCCGTCCTGGCCCCCACTCGCCAGCACCATGGTCTGGAGGGGGAACAAAGAGGATCAGCCCTCTTTGCAGCCTCAGCCCGGGAGGGGAGGGGGGGGGGGGGGGGGAGGGAAGGAAGGAAGGAAGGAAGGAAGGAAGGAAGGAAGGAAGGAAGGAAGGAAGGAAGGAAGGAAGGGTGGTGTCAGGTCTGCACTCGTGTTCCTTTTGGATCTTTGGCCTGCCACACTTCTATTCTACTATGCTGTTTCCATAGTGGGGAATTGGGAGGGGGAACGTAGCCATAACAACATTCTTTCTAGAAAGCCAAGGTCATCCTTTGTCTCTGCACCTCTGCACCTGACCAGAACTGGATGGGTGGAAGCTGCCAGTGTGGCAATGGGAGATTGGACCATGTGATGGACTTGTGGGTGTGGGGGAAAGATCTTGAACTTTAACTTGGGTGGGGAAAACTAAGAAGCTTTCAGATTCGGGTTTTCCCAGATGTGCCAACGTGGCTCTCTTCATAAATTGGAACTTTTGAGGAATCCTTTGCCTTGGACTCTGGTTTAATTTTGGAAGCTGTCTGGAACGCTGACAGGTGGTAGACGGAGGGAGGGAGGAGGAAAAATGGAAGTAATGAGGGGAGAGGGAGGAAGATGAGAGGAACGGAGGGACCATTACAGAGTCATGATAGAAGCGGCCTCGGAGGTCATCTAGTCCAACCTCCTTTCACAGAAATGGCTGTCCAGTCTCTTCTTGAAAACCTCCAATGTTGGGACACGAAGGTGTCGAGAGCCAAGATGAACCGGTCTCTCTGATGATGCCCCCTGATTTAATCGGTGTAGAACTGGAAGGGACCTCTGAGGTCATCTAGTCCCACCCCCTCGCGCAGTGCCCCTCAATTCCCTTAGACCAATCCTTCTACTGGTGGGGCTGGCAGCCGTCCCTCCACCCCACCCCCTCTGTTTCTCCATCATTCCTACCTGGTCTATGTAGACGGCGGTGATGGCGCCTGAATGGCCTTGTAGGGTGAAGAGACAACAGGAGTCTTCTAAGCGATACACCTGTGTGGAAAAGAATGGCGTTGAGCAAAGGACCCATCGCTCCCTCCCTGCTTCAAGAAGGGCTGATAGCGCAAGACTAGAAGATGCCTCCAAGAGCTAATGGTTGTTGTTTTCCGCCGTTAAATAACCCCGTAATCCCTTGGGTTGAGTTGGGACAAGGGAAAGCAGCTGAGTGTTTACTGCCCTTCCTGTCACCAATGAGAAGTTTTTGCTGCAGATAAATTCTCGTGCCCAGAGAGAAAAATATCTGCACCTACCGAGGATAGAACTCACGGCTTCCTGATTGTCCACCATTAGGCCACCGCACCACTCCTCCAAGAACTATGAGTGCCACCCAAATATGGTGTCCACCAGCCCACAAAGTTTCTCGGGTTCTTGAGAAGGTCTGGTGAAGCTACTACCTCTGCTGCTTCTACCAGGCCTGGGTTGACAGCCCAAGACCCCCAGGAGGACCTGGCCCAGGGATGGGTTTCAACCGGTTCGCGGCGGTCCCTGCGAACCGGTTGGTCGCCAAACCCGGAAGTAAGTAACTTCCGGGAACGGCGAAGGGTGCGCCCGCCCGCCCACGGTCCTGCGCTTTCACGCATGCGCCCGCCCGCTGCGGAGTTCTGCGCTTTCACGCATGCGCCGGACGCATACAGCGCCTGCGTGATCGTCCAGGAGCAGCTGGAGTGTCGCGCAGACGCTAGTACGCATGCGTGCACCGCGCGCGTGCACGAGGACACTGCCAGCCCCATTCCAACTGAACCGGTTGGAACGGGGCAAGAAACCCACCCCAGGTATGTATGTATGTATGTATGTATGTATGTATGTATGTATG